ATATAGGCCACGATGGTATGACAGGAAACACGACCAAGTAACAGAATTAAATGAAATCTGTCAAACCACACGAGTCGTTAACGCGACCCTATTTGTTGTTACGAAACTTTTATAGTTTTTTATGAAATGTATTTCGAACTATTCTGTATGTTTAATGTTTCAGTTGTATTAAGAGAAACTGTTGGACTCTGTGCTACTTTTCTGATTTGGAAAAAGTATTATTGTACTATAATCCACTCGTATGTATTTTAAAATTCCTATTGTGGCGCGTTTGTATGTTCGAGTTCATAACAGTATTTTTGCCTTTAAATTATTGTACTATGGTCTTTTAACACGTTTAAAGTTTCATATTGTTATATCTCTCTTATATACATACCCCTACTAAAAAAATGTTCTTCTATGTACCTAATACACAAAAATGTGAAGCTTCATGTATCCGTTAAACAACATAGGCCATGTGCCCGAGATAGGGCATACTAGTTGGCATTGTCGCCGCATTAGGTACCTACATACTTCATGCCTCTCTGAGCTCACTGGATCAAGCTAACGTACGTTTTAGAAACATGGTGAATTAATCTCCATTGGAGCTGAATGGTGTCAAGTCAACCGATGACTGCCCTAGTTGTGGGCCAGCAATCCGGGACGCGTACAGTACAACCTATTTGTTGAAAATTCTAACATTTCCATATTCATTACACTCGAAGCTCGAAGCAGTCGAGGTCGAATGGACCACATTCCGTTTTGCTGTTCTGCTAAAATTATTTCTGTTCAAATCACTTGCAAGGTGTCGTTAATACATTAATTATGGAAATAAATCAATATTACTGAATTCGTAATGAAATGTATTGATTCGACTTGTCTGATAGTTGTATTGTCTTACAAGTCTACTGTTGAATATTAGGGCCGAATACACATAGATATTGAATATTGGAATGCCAAGCTTGTATTTACAAAATTAATTTAAAAATAAATATTAGACTGTAACCGTAGAAAACACATAAATAACCTAAATAAGGAATGAGGATAAGAATACTAGTACTATACTGATAACAGTGTCTGCGAAGTATTTGTATCGCATAAAAATATCAGATATCGCGTATCGTGCATCAATGAAATATTTTTCGCTAGCGCAGCAACTATTCAATCTTTACCCCAGAAACACAATTATATTGACCGTAACATATAAACATATCAAAAACATATACGTGTGCAAACAACAAATGCATAGAAGTATGTGAGTACTGTCAGCATTTATTCTTGTATCCGATTTGCGTCATATGTTTTTATTGAAATATTGAAAATCCGTATTCCTGTCCCACTTGCCTTAATTGTTTTATAACTGCGGTTACATGTCAACGACCTCTGACACATCATATACCAGTTTATTAATATAAGTTCAAAGTTATTTAACACTAATTTAATGGGAAACCTAATATTAATAATGTTATTAAGAGAAATGCAATCGTAGCCTTTATTGCTTAGCAGTTCGGAGGAGAAAGTTTTGTGAGTGTTTTGTTATTGCATTTTGGGAAGGCGATATTTTATATGTTTATTATAAATAGGGCATCGCTTATAGCCACTATGGTTAAACTAACCAACATGAACGGGGAATAACTTTTATGATGTCATATAAAAGAAGTCTTCACACCAACAAATGTGGGGAATACGCTTTAAGTTTCTAACATATTTCAAAAACTCTAGCATCTGTTTGCATGCACAAATCTCATCTAGTTTCTAAACAATATCTTGTATTAATCGAGATGGATTAATGGCGGCTCTCAATTATAATAGACAATGTAGTCGCTTAGGAAAGTGGGGCAGTGAGATGATGTTTAGCAGTCATCAGTCACACTGCAATCACAATGCAATTAGAAAGCGAATTGCACAAGTGCCGCTCGCGCAGCGGTGGCGGCGCTATCAGAAGAAAGCGCGTCCAACATAGGAAAGTTGAATCGAGGGCGGGGAGCGGGCGGCGGGGGTTAGATGCGCGCACGCAGCCACTAAAGTAGTACACTTTCGATCTCAACTCGCGTCGGTGAGAGTTGTGCGAAAATGAAAGTGGTGTTGTCATTATGGTCCACTTTCCACGCTGAGGTCAAGAACCCCACGGGTCCAGTTCTAAGCCTGTTTGCAGTTAATTGTGGAGCTGCAGCATGGACTAGAATATACCAGTATCATAAGCATATACTCTCACATGAACGTACTTGCGCATACCTTGCCACCTTGTACTGTGTTTGTTATGAGGCGATATAAAAACAATGTTGCGGAGATAACGCAGTGATATGAGGTCGCGTTACTCACCGAAGCTTTTTCGTCACATCATTGCGCCTTTAATTAATTAAAAACATTACTTTTCCGTAACTTTCAAAAAGTGTTTGTACGCAATTAGCAAGTTTACTGTTACGGACGGCAAGTATTCCATATCGTGAGAAATAGAAATCCAGATTTGAGCTGTTAATTGAGTTAACGAGTTATCTGTCAACTGACATAATGTATGTGATTAATGTTTAACAATGTTAATTAGTTCGTTAAAGAGATTTTGGAGCCATTTTGGAGACTTCCTCGGACTGTCTCCGACACCACCATCGAACTTGCTAGAAAACTCGGGTGGTTGTCCTGCCAAATATTTATGTAACAATTGTACGTCAAGATTTCTGTTTACTTACCAACTTCAAATCGTATTTCATTCATTTCTAGTTATATGTATTCACATAAGCTTTTTGTCGATAACACATTTTTATTAGTCTAGAAAGTTCGCGAATATGAGTGTATGTAGAACATTTTGTACAAAAATAGTCTGTAGTGCGAATAAAATAAGTGATTCATAACATTGTATGAAGTGAGAAAGTCTTTGTTCAAATGGGTGTCATTTGAAAGCATAGATCGGTGATACCAGTGCAGCATGAATGTGGAACGAGGGTTGCAGGGAGAGAGGGGAGAGCTAGGGGTGTGTACAGAGGTGGATGACCGCTGCTGACGTCAACGTGACCTGATGCTGCCCGGCTTCAGCTTAACCCGAACTCTGACCTCTTGCACTGATGTTTGCATATTTTACTTAAACGTGTATGTAGGGACCAATGACTGCTGCTGTGCAGTTATGCATGCAATTATCATCCGTGTATCTATAGCGTAAAGTTTCAAATGTGTTGCAGTAAAATGTATTAATTGATGCGGTATTCGCTGAGCTTTGATTACTTGCTTGATTGTAAGTAAGAAGATTAATTGCAAGCACGGTATTAAAGAGCATCCGAGGCATTCGCTCAGAGAATTATTTAAGGAATCTAAAATAATGACAGTTGCCTCTCAATATATTTATGAAAATGTAATTCACGCTCATAAAAACAAAAGCTTATTTAAGAAATATAGTGATATACATAATATCAACACGAGGGGGAAAAACAAATATGTTGTGCCTGCCTCCAGGCTTCAGAAAATAAGTAGTTCGTTTAGGTGTCAATGTATACGCTTTTACAATAAAATTCCTAGCGATATTCAAAATTTGAGCCTCAATAAATTTAAAAGTGTAATAAAGGCTAAACTTTGCTGCAAAGCATTTTATAAAATAAAAGACTACTTAGAGGATAGTCAGGCTTGGGAATGAGCCGCTGTAATGTCTGCACAGGTCATGTTGACATGTTTGTAACATAAGTTACACTTTTATATACAATTTGACATTACGTTTATTTTTTTTTTTTATACAATGACATGATCACCTATTGTGACATTTTTATTTTTTATTTGACATTTTTTTTATTATTTATTTGTTGACATTTTTATTATTTTATATTATTGTTAGTGTAAGGACCGTGTGAGACTTGTCGTGCTTTTTATCACCAGTCATCTGCGTTCTGACAGTTTGAGTACTTGCGCGACCCACCCAAATGTTCTTTTGATCGGTATTGTTCGTCGGACAACTCAACAGCACTAGCTATATGGTTGCAAACTGACACTTGCGTGCCTGTCTTCAGAACGGGTCCACTTAAACTGGTGTGGTTCTTTCCTCAAAAGACCACTACAGAATGAACTTGCACGGTTCTCTCACATTATGTTATTTTATATTGTCTGGACTTGAAAAGAGACTGACCTCTGAGTTTGTTTCGGCATTTCTTCTCAGAGTAGTCAGATAGGAAATGCCGGCTTCATCTAGTTTTTCACATATAATTTGACGTGTAAAAGTGCCGTTTTAAGGCCTATTTGCAAAAATAAATTCATTGTTTCATTGTTTCATTGTTTCAAAGTGGAGCGAGATACATTTTGATTGTTAAACAGTTTAACCGAATAAGCTACAAAGGTACGTACGCACTCGTACATTTGAAAAAGTTTCGCAAAGCGAAGAATGAAAACCATTACAATAATAAAAAAATCCGAAATTTTAATTCTGTTTTTTTTTTATTTCATCTAAATGAAAGTTTGTCGTGAAAAAAGTTATTGTCTTTTCAAATTTCAAATTTCGAATATGAAACGTTTTTAGTTCTATGTCAATTGGCTCGCCACCTATTTCTTAGAAACGACGCGCGAGCAATACGTGTGCTTTACCTCAGCTCGTAGCTTCGGGAAAAACCGATAGCGTTATGTAATAATCTGCTTTATTCTAGCGTTAGTAAGGTTGTTTTTTAAATGCTTCAGTTCCTGCTGAAAATCGGTCAAGAGTGTTTCGGTTTTATGGGTTTGCTTCGCCCTAGGGAATTACGGAGTAGGTAAATATGGCTCTACTCTTGATGTTATATGACTATTTGTCATAACATAATATAGTAGGTATGCTTGTTGTGCGGAACCAGAAAATAACAATATAGTTTCTTGCGTTACAGTATATCTTTATATATTTCATTAAAATAAACCCAAAAAAATCGCGGTTACTTCATTCTTCATAAACGCAAACATTTTTCTAAGAGATAAGGTAAACCGGGTTCGATTCCAGATTTTGTGAGATTATCTTCTTCTAATTTCTAGTAACCACTCATAAAACTCTTTAAATCTGGGAAAGCCATGCTTCGGCACGAATGGGTCGGCTCGACCGGAGTTATACCACGGCCTCACAGAAAACCGGCGTGAAACAACCACAGTGTCGCCGTGTGAGTGAGTGAGAGTCGGCAACGCACTCGTTACTCCTCTGTTGCGGGTGTTCATGGGCGGCGCTGATTGCTTACCATCAGGTAATCCGTCTGCTCGTTTTCCGATATATCACATAAATAAATAAACTTATTTGATTACAATAAGATGATTAAAAGGACGATAAATGTGTAGTCAAAATTGTTCAGTATTTGATTTAAAAAAATATTTAATACCTACATATAAGAAGTTAAAAAGTGTCAGTCTATCAGTCAGTCGGTCCTCCCTTAAAGCTCTCTCGTTCCAAAGTGTAGAAGGAGTTCCTCTAAAGAAAAATTCTATGGTCTTTTTTCGTTGGTTTCGCGATCAAATTCTTTGTACGTTTTATGAAGGTTTTATGTACAGCGTTGGAGATATTTAAAGGATGGCCGTCATATCGTCCGACTTATAGATAAAAGATTGGAGGTGTCAGTCGTAAATCGAGTTCATTATTAGAAGTCGTAAAACCGGTAAATATTTACGGCGGGTAATAATGCACGGTCAGAGCTGACTCCTAGACTATAATTGGTCGCCTTGGCCTATAAACTCGCCACTCAACTCGCGAATGATTCGCCAATTCTAGATTTAGGTTTTCAGTTCACTGGGTTGTTGGCATTTCCGATCTGCACGTGTTTAAAATTTTGGCATTTTTTTTTTGTATTTTTTTTATATATTTATTACTTTGTACACGGATTTCAATAATTTTATTATCTAATGTCATATTATATAACACACATAGGAGCAATGCAATATAATTTTTTACAATGCCTTTAGTCCCGTAGATGTAAGTAGATGTATGTTCTTAAAATGTAGTATACAGTTTTCTCCAGTTAATTATGATTATGAATCCCATATAATAGGAGGATCATATAAAACTGCCATGCCATATGTCTGAAAAACCAAAAAAAAAAACAATACCACTTTCCTCGACCCGACATTCTCAATGAATACTACTTTTTATCATTTACTAATCAATTCGTAAATGATATTTTATAGAATGAAGGCTCTATTTATCTTGTTTTTAACTTACATATCTGACGATAAATACACATATGTCCATATCTAAGTTACCTGTGTACGAGTCTAGTTTACTTGTATGTAAGTACGTATATAGTTTTATACGGTTAGGGAATAACAAACGTGATGTTATTATGATGATGAAATTCAATCACATATTGAAAGTGAAATGGACATGGAAATCGTTCTCGTCTTGGTTTGACGTAAACAAAGAAATTTGAAAGTCCTTGTGCATCACTGTAAACAAAACAAAGGCGGCAGGTAACAAGGATTGTTTGACGGAGTCGGGATACAGGTGGCGATATAGCGGTGTAGTAAGGGTTGTTAGGGGCGGGCGGCGCGTAGCTACGAGGCGCTACGAGCCGCGGGCGGCGTAGCGAACTCGCGGCGCGCGCCATTCGCGCTGACGCCGCCGCCGGCCGCACGCGCTCCATCCGCGCGGCTCATGCGTCTCCCGTCGCTCCCGCTCGCTGCGCCCGACATGACTGTGACAGAGTGCCATCGCCAACACCTGGAGGACAGCACCGGCCACGAACCACCGCCCCCAGCGCCCCCTGACGACGCCGACGTGCTCCTCGGCAGAGTCCTCGCAGGTGAGCGCTGATCAGCTGATCATGACACCTGTCAACCTAGCTCACTCTCTACACGTGCTTAAGTTACCGTGCTGTCGATGTTTGGGTGATCCTTACGTTTCTGTGACTGGCCACTTGTGGCCTTTTGCCAATCACAAGTTAATTGTATGTATGTTTATATGTATTATTATGTTAAGAACTTATGATGATTACGATAACAGTGGTTCATACATATGTATATAGACTTCTCAGCAATCAACAAGCGTGTTGTGGTGTATATGTGTACGTTCTATCAAACAACAATAAGTTTAAAGGATAAAAGAATGTCCTTTTCACTTTCCTACTGCAAGTCTGAGGCGAGCGCGCGAGACGCGCGGGGCGCGCGGCGCGACTCGCGGATCTAGGTCAAGCGGAGTTCGTTGCCCTCGGCCTTCCCGGCTATATTCGACGTCGCTAATCACCGCACACCCCCCTCCCCCACTACGGCGCATCGTATCCTCGCTCCTACTCGCAATATTAATACAGAGACGGACTTTACTAGTTTTCAGGATTACATTAATTCCAATGTGTAGTCATAATTACATAGGTTTGCGTATTCTTAAGATTTATTCATTTTCGCAAATGTATTTAACTGCATTTCGAATACCAAACTATTTAAAAGTGACCATGACCTATTTACCACAAAGAAAATAAAATCTATAATCTTAGAAACATAATTTGCAAGATTTAATTACCTCGTTAACGTAATTATTTTGCAAAGGCGGTTCACGTTCAAATAATGCATAGTATTAGTCAATCAATAGTAATTGCATTATTCGCAAAGAAGAGCGAGTGAGTATCTGCGCTCGACATCATGGTCGAGTCGAGTTTCGCAAGTGGAGCCCATCGCTGAATGCCATTTTATTTTGGAGGCCGCGCACACAGTCGGAGGGCCCGCGGTCAACGGCCCCGCGCGTTATCTAGGTCGCCTTAGAATAACCTAGCGCCGATAGTCTAATAATAATCTACACGAAGCCTTGAAATACTGTTGTCCCACTCTCACTCATGACACCTCCATAGCCGCGAAAAGCGACAAACAGTATTTCGTAAGATATGCTCTATTCCGTGTGCGCAGCCGCTAGTTACATTTGACTATCTCTTTTACTCTTGAATGCGAATCTAGACAGAATAAGCTAGAAGAATACTAGTTTCTAGACTTCGACTCATTTGATGGGTATTCGCTTATGTAACACATGACGTATATGTATATGTGTAATTTAGCAAAAATACATATGAACAATGCCGACCATTTAAGACCCTGCAAATGTAGGGCCATAATTATTAGAATTGAAACTGAACAACTTCATTATTTGGCGCGAAAATTAAAATTCGCAAAACGTTAAGCTCAACGAACAATAGCATGTTTAATTTGAATAAATCAAAACAATATATTAATTGTCTACATAGTTTGTAACACGTAGTTACAAACATACAGGTGACCGTAAAAATGTAATATTTTTATGAGGCTTGAATTTTAAACAAATAAATGAAACAAAGTGTTGCGTGTGGCGTGCGGTGTGACGTAGGTAGCACGCGGCGCGGCGGCGCGCGGGGCGCGGGGCGCGCGGGCGGCGCGGACTCGGTATTGCGATCAAGGCCTCGAGTTCGTTCACCCGGCTGCAATTGGGTCACGCTCGCCGCCCCGCGCCGCGCTCCCCACACACAAATAACTGTTTAAATCACACTAAATCCGTACCTGTAACGTCACACTAAGTATGTAGGTAACCTTAATTGTATCATTTCAAATATTAAACACATCAAATGTCTCGCAATCACCTGACGACCTGGTCATTCTCACTAAAATACAATGTCAAATCTAGGTAATGATTGTATCAATTAATAGATACGTGAATAGAATGTTATAGAAATAAATCGTTTCTTATGTAAATGTATCAATGCTAAATTAATTGTTGAAAGTAATCACCGAATGTTTGTTTGGAACGTGTTTGCTAGCTCCAATCGATTAACAATATGTTATAACATTATATGTATAAAGAAAGTTACTAGGTATGCCGCTATGTGTAACTTTGCATATCGCATACATAACATTTCGTATCATTAATTAATACGTCATCTTCATTCAGTTGTACGAGCGAACACGTAACAATTAAATAAATAGCTTTGTGCATTTAAGTACTTAAATAATTAGGTAATCTGTTTGATAGTCAGTAAATAATTATTGTGCGGCATGCAACTCAATACACATTTAACATCTGTGCAACTAAGCACTAACCAATAAGAACATGCTGAACTAACATCGCACATGAACTCCATTCAATGGTAATAAAACTATTTCTTTTTATTATCATTTAAAAATTAGTATAGTAAAAAATATTAAAGTGCTGCAGCATATAATGCAAAACAAAAGCGGCCTCAGTAATACATAATTATAATAATGGAGCGTTGATCAACTTAATCAAAAGTTTCAGGGAAAATGAGTTGATAAGTAGTATGTAGAGGGTAGTGAGGTGGTAGAAGGTTGCGAAGGCAGGGTGGGGCGCGGGTGCAGCGGGGGGCAGCTGCGAGAGGCTGCGGGTCGACGCCCGCGCCGCCCTGACCCCAATTTGATCTGCGCTCGCGTCATATCGCGCGGACCTATCGTCCAGGCACACTCAGCGGAAAATACCCATCGTTTCAACATAACAGCTTTATGAAATGACTAACCAAAAACGGTGCTTTGTAACCAACAGCCTGCAGGATAAATATTACATAATAATGTATACAGTACATACGCCAAGCACTGAAGGCGAGCCTCGCGCTCAAGTAGATGACAGATATTGTCATTTGGCTGGATATTTTTAGAAGGTCGCATCGTAACCTTCTACTACGTAAATTACTTTACACAAAGTAGCAACTGTATGCATGCACCTACATAAGGTCGTCAGTAACTCTGTTCCTATAAGAAGATGTTCTAATAATTCGCGTAACATTTATCTAGTAACCCCCTAACCCGCCGCGGAACCTGAACTCTGAGAAGAGTGCCGAACATTGTGTTCGTTACCTCATTTTTTATACGTGACCCGTTCATGTACTTCAACATTGTCCGTAATTTTAACTAAATTATTTTTTTATATACTTTAATACTGGGTCATGACTTTATTCGATGTAACTTTTTATTCTTTATGTTACATGGCACATCGTGTGAAGGTAACACAGAGTTTTATGATTTTCTGCTATCCATGTATTGTTTAGATTAATGCATTATTAAATGTTTAAACCAAATTTCTCTCAAATAATAAAATCTTTGTGAAAATTAATTTATTAAAAAAAATATGTTTGCGGACCCATCGTCTCAAGGCAACATGAAGACATTATTACATGTAGTCATGAGAGGATTTATTCACACGTATTGTGTTGTATAACAAATTAGTGTATCCTTAAGTCTTTGTTATGTAATCTCCATTTTGCAATAATTAGGGACAAACCGATCAGTTGTTTCACTTCTTAGCACATTCTTATTACCGCGAATGACTTGACCAAGAGTTGGTAACTGTTATATAACAATTGACGCGCGTGCTCAATAAGATAGCAACAGATACGCGTATATTTGATATAGTACCCGGTATATTTAAGTATATTAGTTACTATATAATCAGTCAATATATAGTGCTGACATTTTACAAGAAAAATAAACGTACACAACAGTATTATTGAAACTAGAGACCTTTATTTGAATGTGTGCCATCTATCAATTGAATTATTTTGCCTTGAAAATATGAACGCGCCTTGAATCTCCCACTCATTGACTTTACATCAATGTAACGTACACGTCATAGTAATTTCTGTGTATTTTTATTTTCAATCCGTCGTTCAACATTTCGACCTAGAACAGAATTATTGCTTGTATCATTCGGTATTACTGATACCATTAAATGTCGTTAAAATTCATTGGTATTAGATTTATAGGCACCCAGCAACTGTGGACAGAAAAGATATAGAAATTATGAACCTTATTACTGATCAAGATAAAGTACATATCAATTTGTATTTTGTTCAACGTGAGAATTAAGTGAAGGTTTATCTGAAACGGTCATTGCCACAAACGTACTTAAATAGTTTCTTAGAAGAGTTAGAGTTTGTATCTAAGTTATACTGTGACTGTTGAGTTTGTATGGAGCTATGGGGGCTTTGTGAAGATAAATTTGCCAACATGGAACGGTCAGTTTAAAGCGCGTTAGCAGTTGTTACGCTAACTCTGGCCACTGATGATTAAGTATTGTGGGTCATACCATGAGTCAGTGGTGACCTAGATGCGGCAGGCTGTGTCGACGGTGAGCGGGAGCGCGGCCTACGTGCTCTAAATACTGCCGGAGTAGGTTAGGGAGCGAGGTCAATGAACTCAGCCCTACCTACCCGCCGAACTTTCCGGGCCATCCGAATTGTGTGCCCTACTGTATCGGAATCGGCCCGCGAGACCCTGATGTTTATCCAGACAAATTACTTTGATACAATGTTTTTAACTGGAACGGTATATACTTAACTATTTTAAATTAGAAACTGTTAATTTGCGTAAAGTACTGTAACTGGAGTAAAGAAATAGCGCGAATGGACATCTCCTTCAATTAATGTCAAAAGTGCAAAACCAATAATATAGGTACCTAAGTATATCTGTAAGTCTACGAGTTGTACAGAAATAGAACTGTGTAAGTGTGTATGTACAATTGTGTAGAAATAATCTATTAAATGAAAAAGAACCGTTAAAAGCACACAATGCCAGTCCAATGCCAATGACCAGAGCTTGCTTTGTTGTAACCAATTTAATTGGCGTTTTTTCGCAAATATTTATTTTGCAGATTATTAAGTTTCAATACATAGACGAATTAGCACAAGATAAGAAAAAAAAATGAAGTCGAACCTTGCTAAAAAAAATACTAAAATACTTGGAAATAAGAAAATATTTTCGTAACTTTCTAATAATTATTAATTACTACACACTATTTTTATTATTTCGTCTAGATAGCGGGTATAGTGAATTTTAAAACTAAAAATAAAACCAGGAAAATATTGTTTACAACGCCATCTAGCGTCGAGTAGATCGTTTGAAACAGTTTAGATAGATGTCGCTAGCTTCTTGCGTGAACAAAAACATCTTCGCTACGTCGTAGCAGTGTTACTTAACAAATCGTCATAGTGTTATTTTGTACTCAAATTACTTTTCGACTTTTTGACGATTGACATAAAAAGATTTTGTCATTGAAAGACGTATTTTAAAATGGTGTCAAACTAATTTGGCTTGCCATCATCGTTAAACGTAACATATATTGGCAGATATTTTGTTTATGGAAAATTAATAAATATAATAAATTAATAAATAATAAAATTAGTCGCAATTTGACAATTGAAATAAGCACATCATTGTTTCACAAATCGTAAACTAGTGTAACTAATATCTACGGAGTTCCGAGATGACCACATATATATAATCGAACTACATTCCTAAGTTTATCTTTTAAACTCAAATATAAGCTTGGACCTAAAAATAGCGAGGCTCTGGTTAGGCAAGGTGGACAGAGGCGGAGGGTGGTAGGGTGGCAGTGGGTGGGTGTGTACCCACCGCTTGGCCGTGAACTGCGCCGACCCCTCGCGCCCACGTTACTTCGTTTCCTCTCGGCCCGCAAACATTACCTGCTGCCATTTAAATTACCTACCTACTCCTAGTGGTTTTTGATCAGATTAGTACTATTAAAGTCTTATATTACTAGCAATTTCACTTAATATCTAATTGAAATATATTGTACCTACATAGCAACTTATTAATAGTCATATGGTTACCTGAAAAACCAGTTCAACGACCTCTGTGATTGTTATCTGATAAACAGAAGATCCAGATATTGACAACAACAATTATCTCTAACTAAATTAAAATGAGCAATCCTAGGATTACTACTATTAACAATCATATTTGACAATTTAATAATATAGTGAACTTTAAATATGGTCGGGTGGGTGTATAAGGGGGTCGTCCATTGACGTCACGGGGGCGCATGCGCGTAATTCACCCACGCGTTCACCCCACGTTCGTTCCTTGCTTTCGCGCCAAACCGTTGTTGGATCTCGCGCCGGTTATAACCTAACAATACTCGTATACACTAACTTCGATGAAATATTACATTTAAAACTTTAACTTATTTCCCAATGTATCATTATGGAGTTGAATAGTGATAACAAACAGCTGCACGAACAAACTGCAGGTGAGCTTTTAAAATTTATTACTTACTGAATATTTTAGTGACCTTTTGAACTTGAAATTAAGGTAACCGGTCATTGAACTCTGCTCTTTAGATGCCTGTTATTTTTTTATTATGATTCGAAGTTATGTAACTTATCGTTAAACTACAGTGCGTAAAAATTGCAAATATTTATAATCTTGATACGATACTGCTGATTTAAATATTCTGAACTATTTTAACAATAATTTTCCTAAACTGAACCTATTAAATTAAATATAGATTATAACATTATTCGTAAACGCGGCCTAGACATCTGCTTGTGAAGTAACTAAAAGATTTTAAAACACATTGGCGGTATTAAATTCCAAGGTTTGAGGAAGCTTTTCGAGATTTGTTAAATATAGCGAGTGGCCTAGAATGTGTATAGTTAGCGCGTCATGGTCATAAATGTCTATTTGCTGTTGAATTGGTCTAGAGGATGTTTTAGATAGGATACCATTTGTTTTCG